TGTGCAAACACAGAGACCCATGACCATACAGACACACACACACTCATACACACAGGGATTTATATTTTTACTGAGCTTTTTCTTTGTGAGGCTACAGCTTGTTTTACATGCTAAAGTGAGAAGCACATCTGTTAATTTAGTTCCAGATCATCTGAGCCTCAGGAAAATGTAATCCTGACTAATTTCCCTGCCGCAGTAACACTGATGGCAAATATGAAAATGTGAGAATATATGAGCAGTAACGCCCTTACTAGACATGCGTAATAACCCCTCACTACCTCACCAAGGTAATGACATATCCAACTCCACCATGTGAATTACTAAGTGCAATGTTTGAAGTTCACTGTGGGAAATACTATTACTCTGTTTTTAATGCTTTGTTGCCTTTATGTGACTTTTTTATTTTAAGACTAACTGTTCTTTCTGGCTTTTGACTCCAAAGGAGAGCTGCACAAGAATTCCTATATGCCTAGACTGTCTGTTTATGTATAAATGGCAAATAAAAATCTTGAATAAAACAAGTTTCTTGTTTGCAGTCAATGCAGTTATAGTGTGCACAGTCCATGCAGTCAGAAATTTTGGCCTGCATGTGAACTTTCACAGACTCAGGCGGATGACTAAATCTGCTGACGGCACACACACGCACTGTGCCTGGCACATGATGCGCTGCACCATAACCATTCGACTATCAGGGCACCCAAAAAAGACAACCTCTCTAGCTGAACGTGCATGTTGCATTAGCCACAGAGATGCCAAAATAGCTAAATTTGCTAAACACATGAATACAACAGTAAGTGCATGGAAAGTTTATTTCCTCCACCAAGGTGGAATGTTTTTGCCCGTGTTTGGTTTGTTGTTGTTTTGGAGAAGGATGGTATGGCCCACAGAACAATCCATTTTTGGTGCTGATCCGGCTCATCATCGAGATCCAGGAATTTTTAAAGAGATTTTCAATATTTTGGTTTTTAACATTCATACTATTAATGGTATCAATGTGATTCCAAATGCTAGAGGTTTCATGAACAAGGAATCATATTATGATAGTCAAACTATCATGGGAGTATTGCTTTTAGGTGCCAATGGCAATGGCAATAGGGGGAGTGAGTTGCCTTGGCTGAGGTTTGCACTCTCTGACTGCTCTCTAGTTAATATTTTGTGTAATGATTCAGTGGTTAGCACTGTTGTCTCACAACAATCTTGGAACCCTGGTTTGACTTGATATCCACAGTCACACAGACTAGAACAGACTGTGAGCATCTAGTTCATTTGCTCAAACTGAGCCAAGCAGAAAGTCAATAGGTTTGACAAAAGCTGGCTGCAGACACAGTTCTGGTTTACAGGCTTTTAACCCCACTGCTGTTTCATAAACATTAGTTCTTGCAAGTGCAAAATGTTCATAAATTACTTCTACTAAAATGCGTCAGAACAGTAAGTGCTTGAACAACAAACCAAGTTGTGTGAAAATACATAAATAACTTTATTTATTTGTCTATGTTTTGTAGCTGACTCTAAAATTACACTCGAGATGGGTACTCAGCTGAGCATCATGTTTTTATTAAACGCTAAAGAAAAGAAGTGGATAGAAAGCCTGAGAGAACCTGAGACAATCTGCTGTATAACACTGACGTGTAGTGTAGTGTTAAGTTGTGGTTTCCATAAGGATTCACATTTTTTAACACTTTTATGTGGTTCAAAATCAAATGGGAGGAAAACACAACAGTATCAAATTAACACTGTTTAAATGCATTAAATCTGCTATTTCTGCCTTGTGATTTGACACTTGTTCCCCACAGACGTAGTGGCTGCTGCAAAATGATTAATCAGCACCAAAAACATGACATACTCATTGACATAAAATGGCTGCTGTACAACAGACACAGATACAATGTTTGTGCAACCGCTGACCAGCTTTTTGCTGTCAATTTACTTGAATAGTAATACAGCCATCAAGAGGGCGATCACATGGAACGGATGGCACATCCGATGATTTCCTCCACAGAAGGTTCTACTACAGAAAGAGCTGAAATAGTTGACTAATTAACAGAGGTCGGAAGTATGGCAAGAAGTAGAGGTGGCATTTCTGCATAGTTAGCAACTTCTCTGGGTTTCCTCCCAAAGTCCAGTGTGAAGTGACACAGGTGTGAATGTGAATATATTTGTGTAATGTACTGACAACTTGGGAGGTTCTCTGCCTTTCATCCAAAGCAAGCTGGGATACGTTCCAGTGCCCTCTGAGCCCAAATAGGAATAAACCAATCAATGTTAAGATTGAGAGTACTAGAGAGTTTGGCCAGGTGAGAATGATGCCAATAGAAATCAAAAGATAACCCACCTAAAAAGGTGCTGTAGGGCCTGTATTTATCAAACTGCTTCAACAAAAACACCACAGATTTCCCACACTGCAGTCTGTTTACAGGAGTTAGGGAGTGCTACTTTGTAAAAAGAGTTATATAAGGCCTGCTGTATCTCCAGAGGGAGATGGGGGAAATGGTAATAGTCTCAGTGATGTCATTTGAGTCATCATGAGTTAGGTTTGAAAACGTCAAGCTTACCAAACCCAAACAGATACTTCCCACATGGGAATGTTCTTGCACTATTCCAAAGTGGTTAGCCCTAGTACTAATCATGTAGTCGCACCAGATAAAACAGCTACCTTTGTTGGGGTACTGTAAGTATTTGTAGCAGATTGTTACCAAGTGAAACCAGACATAAACAAACATTGTATAGCTCCAGTAAAGTTTGTTGAATGTTAATATTGGATTTTATTTTAATGTAACTGCCGGTAGTGAGGCATTTGCAGCCATTCTGCCCACAGTTTGTGAGCTGTGAACATTTGTTGTTGTTTTTTTCATCATGTGGGAGATATTATCGTTGCTATCAGAAATTCCTTTAATTTGTGGCTCAGACATTGGTCATAGGCTGACATGCAGAGTTTTTACCCAGTTAGCTGCTGATAATTACAGTAGCTAATAATGGTATAACGTTAATGCTGCATTCAGGAAACTCTTAGGGTCAAGTTGCATTGTGGGTAATCACCTTGCAGTGACAAGAAATGCATGGCATGAAAAAGCAGGTTTGAAAAGTGAGCAGTTTTGTTACTTTTCTCTATGGGAGTGCAATGCTAATTTTTGTTGGAGTAAAGTGAAAATGTGACTCAAATAAAGGTTAAAGCAGAAATTCTTAAATGATTTAGCCTCTTGACCTGTTGCGCATCATTAATGTTCTGTTTCAGACAGAGAACACCAATGTGGACTGACCGTACAATATGACACTGGTCATGAAAATGGCATCTGAAGCAGTATGTATGGTTCACAAGTGGCTAAATATTTGCCTAAACTTTGCAGCTGATGCTTTCTTGTGAGTTATCTCTGATATATGATAGGACATCATCATTTTCAGTGTATCTTGCTGGCACACTGCATCAGTAAATTCCCCATTATTATAGGTTATCTCAGTTTTTAGGAAGTGGACATTCCAGTTTGGAGTTCCTTTTTGTTTCCAGTTCAGCCAACTTCCTGTTATTTCACCCATATTCACATATTTATAGGGCTGGGCAAGATAATGTGTTATTTTTCATGTTAACACATAACTTAATTAATTCCGCCAACTATTTTATCATGCATTAACGCAGTTTTGTTTATTATTATTATTATTTTAAAAGTTCATTGCTCACTGGCTCTGAATACATATAAAGACAAACCATGGGTCATGGGTGGGATGTTGATCAGCACTGGCTTGGGATGGGTGTCATCACGCATCTCAACCAATGAGAGTGTTTTGGGCGAGCCTAAGACTGCTGCAGTGCTCACGTGAACCAGACGCACCATCACAAGAGGAATACATGAGTAAATGAGGGGACTACAAAAGCGCCGGCGTTACAACATGCACCAACTGTTGCTCTCACTGGAGCTCTCACAGTTACCTTGGAGTTGCAGTGCACTATACTGATGAACAGTGGGAGCTGCATTCACATGCTCTAACTGTAATGAAAACAGAAGAGAGGCATTTTTCTGAAACGTGCGCAGAGCATTTCATTCATGTTGCACAGCAGTGGAGCGTTTCAAATAAAGTCAGCACACTTAGTACAGTTAGTGCAAGAAATATGACCGGTGCTGTCAGACACCTGCCTTTACGAACACGTCTCCTGCATCGTGCACAGTCTCCATCGTTCTGTCACAGTTTCTCTGCAGAACAGTGCGTTTGACAGTATCCTGGCCAAATGCAGAAAGGTTGTGGGCCACTTTAAAGCAAGTATTGAATTAGAAGAACAACAAATTGAACACCTTTATTTGTTTGTTGTTTTGTTCATATAGCGGTATTTCTAAAATAAAAGTGCGCAAATACACTACTTTTGAATTTATTATTGAATGCTGCTCATATCAATGCAGTTATTTATGTTTAATCACAGAAAATCATGCAGTTAACATGATTAGGGATTTTAGCCACAATATTTACATTTTATAAAAGTATTGTTTTTAATAGTTTGTTACTACTGAAAATATTAGTTATTAAAATTAAAAAAAATTGACAATAACATATCTCTTAGGAAATATTATTTTTATATAGTGAACAACTAGGTAATTCTAGTTTCAGTGCTTGTCTCTGATTGGCTGTTATGCACACAATCAATGTTGTGATGACTTGAGAGCTGTTAAAGGCTGTTCCTACTTTAATGTGTGTAGGTGACAGTCACTTGATTTCCCCTCCTTAGCTGTCTCTCACTGCATTCCTTAGCCTAATTCACCACTACAAGAATGGGAAAGAGCCTCAGGAATCGATACCAAAATGAAGGGTTTCAATGGCTATGTCAGCGGTTAAAAGAGTCCCTTACTGCCAGAATGTTAGGAGAAAATGTTATCATTTTTATCAAAAGCAATTTAAGATCATGTAGCATAAGGCAGTGTGGATCTCAATGAATCAAGTATAAAAACAAACGAACACCAAAGAAAATTTAATGCACCTTTAATTGCACCTAAAAACAGGACAATTAGAAGTGCCGTGGTCCTCCTTTTATTCTTTGTGTGTGTGTTTTAAGCAAGTTTAAATAAAACACAGCATTAGAGACATCCTAAGGACAAAAATACACGTTACAGTACTCAACCCTAACTACATCTTCCATAATACATTTAATATGCACCGCTTTGTTATCAAAAAAGCACTTTAGCAGCAAAAAGCAAAATCATAACTGGCCTGCCAGAACTTAGTAAAATGCGTTCTGAATCAGCTGCTACATGCAAACAGTCGATGTGAAGGAGAACATCCTGACTGAGAGAAGGCTGTTTTATAAAACGTATGATTAACACACATCACATACAGATGAGTAATGAGGTACTGCAGGACATGACTAAAAAAGAAACAAATGCAGTTTTGTGGCTCAGTCTTTTCAGTCGGTGCACATTTTCAATTAGCATATGATGTTAAAATAAATACAAGTAGATTGTGTGTTTTGGTGGTACTCTGCAGGTCAGGAGTTTTAACCTTATAACTGGGTTCAAATCAGGTGCAATATGTTTATGTAAACTGAAAAGTAACAGGAAATGTAATTAAAAGTCGTAAGTGCATTGAGTCATGTTTATCAGGGTTTGTTTTACCAGAAAAGACTCAGACTTTAATAGATCATGACCATTACTTATACAACTGTAGCAAAGTATGTCTTATACAGGCAAACTTATGAGATATGGTGTGTTCAGACTGACTGTGTGAAAGTACATAACTAAAAAGTAACAATATACATTTTCTTTTTAGTTTTATTCATTCTTAGACCTCAGAATTTAGGTTTGATTTTTTTAAAATAAACATAGTATTCTAAACATATTGAGCACACATATTTCAGTAACTGTTTTAATATATTGTAATACTCTCTGGTTTTGGTAACATGCATATGTATGTGCACAATTCTCAGGCTGCAACTACTTTTTTTCCCCATCAGTGTATTTGTTGAAATGCATAGATCATTGACAGAGATAATAGGATTAAAAAAAGCACCGATATACACTATCCATGTGAACCCTTAAAAAATGTGAGAGGTATCTCTGAACATGTATTGCGTACTTACAGTTACATGACAGCGGTATGGTGCACTCCCAAACATTCAGCATCAGTTTCTGTAAGACCAGTTCTTATGCTTACAGTATGTACTGCACATATGTAGTCATGGAGACTTTTTTTTCATTGTAGTGGAGTATCCCGTTGTTGTGAGTGAATCACAGTCCACTGACCCATTGATGCAACACAGTATTGAGAACTACTGACCCTTTTGTGAAGAAGACCACAGATTAACCACTCCAGTGGCTCAAAAATTGGATTTTACACAGAAATGTTCACAGTAGTATGATAATGTCCAAAACATAGAACACAGGCAGAGTAGCTACAAAGTGCTGCCCCTTTTAGACAGTTGAAATGTGGTTGTGAACTCAAAGTTCAGACTGTGTGTCATCGGTGCCCTCTTGTGGTCAAATGAATGTCCACTCCCAACAACAAGTGTCTGCTTTGTGAAAAACCTTGATTTTTATTTTCTGTTTTCAGAAAATAATTCTGGCATTTCCTTGGCAAGACACCGACCCTTCAGAGCCTCAACACCCACCGTTGTGGCAAGGATGCTGGTCCTGTGACGGAGACCCCCAAAACTGCCATTAACCAGGAAGCCAGGTTGCTGGGGCAGTGAAGGGGTTCCTCACTGCCTCTTGCTATCCAGGATGGCCCTCCAGTCATCCGACCAAGACAGGAGTCGTCTCTGGGAGGGGCTCATGGAACAATGCTTGTTGTGGCAGGCGGTGAACAGGACGTGCTCCCATGTAGGTTTGGCCTCCACACCTGAATAAGTGACATTGGGCACAAACATTACATAACTGACAGCCATACATTTCAGCGTGTGGAGCATACAAACCACTGCAATAGGCAACCCAGCAGATCTTGACTAACAGCACACACACTGTGGCAACGTTTCTAAGGTTCAAATGAAAAACTGAAGAACATAGTCTATATGCAAATAATTACAACACCCACATACTATTACACAAACAGAATTATGCAATTCTCTAAGATTTTTCCTTCTTTTCTTCATCTTTGCAACACACATTCGTGAATTCTGCATGATGATCATTTTATTGCTATTTTTTGAAACAAATATACATTATGATCATGTTATGTCAATGGTCTTTTGTCAGTTAAACCCCTTCCTGGAACAAATATAGCTTTTAGCAACCACATGTCCAGTTTTGGATTAATTCACATGTTACAGCTATGTGCATAGGGGTCAACCATCTAAATCTTCCTCTAGATATTGCCTAAAGAAACCGCACTGCATTAATGTTACAGTATCTGACAATTTAGCTTCTTCTCTCAAGCTATGTCGTCAATCCAGGTTCTGCAGACCAGAGGGATGTAGACTACAACAAATAAACAGCCTTTAACATGAACCTCACCATAAACAAGAACAATAATAAATAAATAATAATAATTCAGGACAAGACTTAAATGTCACTGATAAAACCTAGACTAAAATACCTTGAGCTTTTGTTGATAAAAACTGATATTTAACAACTAAATCATGCACCAGAATTAACACTAGTAGCAGTTTGGAGGATGGCCTAATTCTTTTACCTTTACAAAGCCAAAAACACATGAAAAGAAATGTAACAAGTGGATCAAACAGTGTTTGTCTGATCTAACATAAACTGCAATTTGTCAACATGTCAGGGAAACACATCAGGGAAATACACTGCTGAACTGGTTGACATGTTTTTTGCTACCATAAAGCACCAGTAACCCTTGCCATAAAGTCAACTGCACATGTGCAAGATCCTGCGCAAACTCTCTGCTTTGTTTACATTCTGCTAGCTACTCACGCTCATGCCTGGGGTTTGCTGATGAAGAAATATGTTACCCAGTACAGTAGTGTGTTTCACTGATGTGTTTTGAATCGATTTTGAACAACGATGGAGGTCTATGGCACAGATGAATAAGCTGATCCAGGACTGACACACTGACAGACATTAACGGTGAGTAGAGGCAATTCATTGTCAGTTTTAGTCTCTGTATGAGGAGTGCTGAAAATACTGTTAATATCTTTTAACATCATTTTGGATTTTGAGATGGAGCTGGATAAAAGGAGCCAGAGGACTCTAATTCAGTTCAGATGTGGCGTTCTAATATCTGGATGTGTTAGCACCTAAAGTTAACATGCTTCTTTTGATAACATTAGCGACCTAGCATGGTCATGATTTTACCTCTGTATTTAATTAGCATGATACTAATTTTGGAATAATTTGAGCTTTGCACAATGTTAGTGCTCTGTGTCACAAAAACAGTAACCAGAGCATTTTACTGGATTACCCGTTAGTCAGCTAATGCTAGCTTCAGACTAGAGGCTGCATTTTGTACAATTTGATGCAACCAGGCATCTGTAGTTTGTTATTGCTAGGAAACAGGATGTGATGGGAAGGGCAAAGAGCGATTAGGAGCATCTTATGGTGTCAGATTGTTTTGAGTCTCACTAGACCCTGTAGCACCTGAAAAGAAATTAGAGTAGCTTTAATTAGCTCATGAGCTACAGGTGTTCAGATCTGCCAATGAGTTGTCGTATTAGCCTGAAAATCAGTGGTTGCAGGCTAAAAATAAAAAGCTACTTACTGTATCTCTGTCTGAAATCAAGGACCCACTGTTTCACAAATAATTTTGAGTTTTAAATCTGTCATTATTATCGTAACCTGTATTTACACAAGAAACTAACACTTTGACAGGAGAAGCAAGATTAACTAAGGGGAAATTAGTAAATGGTTAAACTGTATTGTCACCAATAAAGAATTGTCATCTACAAAATAATTTCAATATAGAATGTCAGTTTGTTATGTTAATCACTGACCCCATTAAAATCTTGATTAGCAAGCATTTTTGTTATTGTGAAGAGATAAACAGTGCATGTGCACATTAACATGTTTACAGTCCTCACCTAGAATGTCAGGCTTGTCATCTATGAGGATGTCTCCTGTGATTAATGTCTTGTCCCTGGTCAGGATGACCTGCTCCAGAAAGTCATGACCGAAATGCTTCTCTACCCAAGCATACTGGACAAAAACATGTGCACATTCATGCAATAGATGAGATCTCATTAGAAAAGGCACCAAACAGACCAGATTAGATGCTGCTGAACGACAGGAGACTTACCTTCTCAAATGGGCAGTGTTTGTAATGCTTTATAGGGCTGGTGCAAATAAAGACATCTGTGCTGAGGAAAGAAAGAGAAACACACAGAGAAAGACCAGATTGGAACATTAAAATCATATAAACAGTTCTGTATTCCAGCTGCTGACACCTGACAGCCACACTGGCTGTTTATTACTGGAGTTATTAACTATAATGGGGACTAGGCAGTGGACCTTCTGTGCTAGGAAAACAGAAGTTAAAAAAAATTAAATGAAACTGAAACAAAGGAGATCATGCCATTTGGTGTGATACAAAAACAAGTTCATTCATTCAGGCAGTGATGCTAAATAAACCTGTTCATTTCCATCAGGAGGGGAAATGTAAACATACACATTCATAACTACAAAGGCTATTTTTAGACATTATTCCACTGTGTTGTGTGCTTTTGAGAATGTACCAGAAATGGCATCATGTTGACTCAGATTACACTCAGATTTTGAAAACTGGACCGAGGACTTGTATCAAATATTAACTGTCTCTAGATGTGATAGCAGCTAGTGTCCTCTGAAAGAGCAAGACAACAGAAGAATAACACGGATTCCTTAGGAAAACTTGTGATCTAAATATCAAGACAATACAAAGTGTATAATCATACGGAGATAGTTTTTCCATTTTAAAGGGCTTTAAAGGAGAGTTTTTCCTTAACTGATTGGACAGTCTAAGGACAGGGGGTGTCATGTGTTGTACAGACTGTAAAACCCCTCGAGGCAAATTTGTGATTTGTGATATTGGGCTATAGAAATAAAAATGGATTTTACTTTACTATAAATAAAAACAACTATGTTCTTAAGTTAATCTGTTATAAGCATCTTACTTGTAAGTAATAAGTCATAATTTAATAACTACTACATAAATGAGTCATATAAAAAGTAACATAAATATCAACAATGAAGGTCAAACACAAGTCCACAACTGGACACTGTGGCCTAAAAATATGCCAAAAGGCCAAATACACCAAGTTTTGTCAGCAAAAATATTTTACAGCTAGAATGTTGCATTTATGAATTATTTTACTGTAACACTGCACAGTAACATCTACATTTATAGCAGCACTGCTGAACTAAACTATTACAGAAGTTAGAATATATACAAAGGCTTCTGGCATTTTGTTGCACCTGAGTCTTGATGGGCTGCTATACCTTTTACGGCCACCAGATGTCAGTGAGCTGCTGTGTTTGAAGCCCTGAAATTTGGAAAAGTAAGCCCCAATGCCTCACAATGGTTTGTTTATCTGCCCATCACTACAATTTAGAAATTTTCTAAAATGACTTTCTAGAGTTAAATTTGTATTAGCACTTCTGTAGCGCAAATCCTTGCACATGTTAACAGTTAAATCCTCATGATAAGGTTAGAATGTATGAAAATCATGGATTAAAACACAGGGTTATTCAAAAAGAATGAACCGATTTCATTACGCAATATCTTAGTAAGGAAAAGTAATACAAAACTCCAGCCAAGTCACAAGTATTCTACTCACAATCAACTTTTATTTCCTGTCTTACAAGTGTTCAATGTGGCCACCACCTGCAGCACGGGCGACATCAATGCGATAAGAAAATTCCTCCCAGGCGTGTATTAGCATATCACTAAGAGGAGTTTTGTATTACTTTTCCTTACTAAAGTATTGCGTAATGAAATCGGTCCATTCTTTTTGAATAACCCTGTATATCAGGAACTGAATACATGACAGATATGTTACAGTATACAGAGTCCAAGGTGTAGGTTGACTGTAGCCAGAGGTTCACTCATAATAATCTATGTTAATACAGGACTGACCATTTATTAGCAACACTGGATTATGAAAAGAGATGGTACACACCTGTACTCATTTATTTTTCTGGAAAACAAAGAAACAAAAAATAAAGAAAGAAATACAATTACAAGGGGCAACAAAGTGATTCAGTTTTTATCCAAAACCATCAGTCTGCACCTCTCAGCAGACATCGATTTCCACACTGACACTCTAAACGCCATGATCACCAAAGTGAACATTAAACAAACTTAAAAGGTATAACACTGATGTCACTCAGAAACACATCTATATCACATTTGACCCTTAGCCTACATCAGTAACAGTCCATTAGGTTTATATATCAAAGGAGTGCACTGCATCTTCAAGACATACTTATCCATCTCAGCCATCTCCTTGACTGCCTCCACTCCTCCTGGCAGGGGCGGCAGCTCTATGAAGAAGTCTTTGGACTGCCAGATACTGATGGCTTTTTCCTAGAGTCAAAGCGCACACACACGCACATAGCTTTTCAGTAACAGTGTATGTACATTGATCACTGATCAGGTGTGCTGTCTGTGTGTGTATCAACAAGTGTGCATGTGCTCTGAAGGAACAAGTCAACTTTTTAAAGGTCAACTAAGGTCCATGTTAAGTGCAAATTTTTATTTTACCACCTGTTAACATGTTTTACACTGGTGCTATACCAATAATATAGCAATATATACATATAATATAACCAGTATTCATTCTAACACAGGCTCTAAATGGGATACATCCTTATTAAATAAACTGATCAATTAAATTGGGCTACTGGTGCTGAAGGGCCTCTGCAAAAGTGAATTTCAGTAACTACTTTTGTAACAGTTACACATGTATGTATGTCACTTACACACAGGTCACTCCTCAGCTCCCCATACTGCGTTGACACCCAAAACCCCCGCCTGTCCTCCAGGGTGATGAAGGGCTCGTCTGGGTACTTGGCACGGTACTTCTTCAAGAACCCCCCCTCGAAATCCGCCAGGACCCCGTCCATATCAACTAGAACCCTTAACCTTTTACCCGAGAGAGAGGAGCGCGACATCTTTAAGCAAATCCTCTTATACTGATCAAGGAGCAAAGTTCTTCCTCTTCCGAGTAGGCGTGTTTTACTATACAATAACGTTAACATTGTTGACTCTTGACTGAGTGGCTGTAACAGCACCAGTAACTGCTGTTCACCGTCTCTAAACGGTGGGTAAAGTCCGCATGAGAGTCAAAATGTTTTCCAGATGTTGTTAAACTGTCTCGTTGGCACTGGTTTGGTATTCTTTTTTCGTTTGGTTTTAACTGCTAGCTCAACCTCATTATTCTCATAGTCTCTCATGTTGCAGTTGAGCTAACGGTCGGTAGCTAATTTTAGCTGACAGGCTAGCGCCGCAGGACCATGCAGCTCAAATGTGACATGCCTGTGGCCACGGTGTACAGTAGGCTGCCGTCATCGTTTGTCAGGGTGTATTAAGAGTCCGGCAACTACCCAAAGCCTTTCTCAGACCAAGACTTTGAGAATGGCTGGTGAAGCAACAGCAACCAAAACGAGAGGTATGCACAACTGCTGCACCAAAGGAAGAACAGCACAGCTGTAAGAACAAACTGTACGAAACTCCTCGCAGCAAAGATCTTTACATGTCTGAGATGTCTCACTCCGTTCTGCTCCCGTTTTACGTTGATAAAGTTATTTCTGAAAATCATTGATGGATAGGATTCACTTTAAAATTGTGTAACACTCTGCATCTTACAACGAAGCTTTCTGGGGTCATTTAATTGTATATAAAATGTAGTACACTTGAAATGTGCCAAAATAAAACTTATATTTTCTGTATTTGAGTTTAGGCTCTTTTTTTTTTGCTTATATTCAGTTATTATTGCAAATTAGTTTAAGATATTTGTATATGCCACCAAACACAACTTACAGTACAAACACTAGAAGCTAGAAGTGTCCATGTACTGTATAGCCCATACATAGCGAAAAGTATTTAAGGAGAAATAAAGTTAAAAACTAGTTATGAGTCATTGCCTAACAAAAACATCGTGTGTGCACACGCGCATGTGTGTAGAGTGTATGAAGGTGATAAACCATAAATCTGAATACTGAAGAGACATTTACAGACTATATAAACATTTCACTGCAATACCAAAAATGAGAATAAATGTCCTAAGCTACTGAAGAGTTCCAAATTGTGCAGTTATGCTCCTTATCTCTTTAATTTAAATGATGTATCAGGATCTTTCTATTAATATATTTGATTCTCTCAACAGTTACCTCTAGGGACTGCAAAACTGCAAGGATGGTGCGCTGGTTTACGAGTTGCCACTGTTGCCTAAGGCTTTCCTCCAAAAAAGCAAGGTCTTGGGTTTGAACTCTGAACAGTGTAGGCATTTTAGAAAATCAATGGATAAATGTATGTACTCAGCTCACTGATATTTGAGGAATTTATCAAGGTCAAGGTCAAAGTGTTTATTTGTCATATGCACAGTTAGGAAGCACATTTCCCTGTACAATGAAATTCTTATTTTGCTGTCCACATGAATGCCACACAATACAAGCAAAATATAAAGTAGATGAGCAATAACAAAGCTAAATAGGCAGTAACACAAATTTAATTTATGTATTTCGTCTGCAAAGCAAATCAACTACCACAGACAGCATAATTAACAACTGCATTATTTGGAAGTACAATAAACATTAGCATCCAGTTATAACCAATGGGTGCTATAAAGTAATTTACCCAGGAGCTCTTAACGTTTTCTAAGATCTTTGTTGAAAACCCGGTAGACTAAATTTACGTCAGTTCCTCTCCGTGTGTGTGTGTGTGTGTGTATGTGTGCACGCCGTTGTATTACTTACATTATGGAGACTGAAACCTGTTAACAGCACCATGGTTTAAGGTTATGTGTTAGGCAAGTAGTGGTTATGGTTAAGGTTAGGATAAGTCTACAGGAAATGAATGCAAGTCAATGTAAAGTCCCCACAAGGAATGAAAACACAGCGTGTGTGTGTTCCTAAAGAGACAACTGACACTGCAGTCTGAAATAGACACATTAGTCCTCGTACACATTAAACAATTAGAGCAGATAAACATTTTCATAAAAAATGCTGTTATGAAAACATTGCCAGCTGAATTACAAATACTCTAGTGTCCAGTATCTGGCCCTTTAAAAATCCGATAGTCAGTTCGCAAATCTCGCTGCAGTCTGTTCTGTTCTTATGATCTCGCGATAACTTCATCTCAGTGGCGGCTGTGTAGCCCCCTGTCTCAGTCCGGACGGAGTTGTTTCTGACGTTTGAATGAAAAACAGTGCAAATTACCTCCACTTTGGACCCAGGAAATAATGGCTTCAGCCTTGGAGCAGTTTGTGAACAATGTGCGGCAGCTCTCCGCTCAAGGTAGGGTTGCTAAACTTATTCGAGGTGGAAGTATCAGCTAGTTAGCTAGCATTTGCTGCCCAATGCCTTGCCGATAGCCAGGCAGCCAAACTGGTCAGAGCCCTGTTTTTGCTTTATCATGTAAACACACCGCATACATGACTTTTTTTGGTTGCGAGAGTTCTGTTAAGTATCACCAGAAGACACCTTAGTTCATAGAGATGCCAAGGATAACAGCTAACTGGATAGCTTTTCAAACAAAATATCAAATTTATACTTTTTGTTTTTGATCTAGGAAATTATGTTTAGGGACTGCCTACCGGTAGTCCCGCCCTAGTCCCACGTAATTGGCTTGCGAACAGAATTAGCGAATATTATTGGTTCAAAGTGTTGTGTCAATCACACTTGCGTTACCCTCTGTTGCAAGGCCTTGACAGGACACCTGACCGGCCGATTTATATTGAAATTCCCAGGCACAATACGATGATTTTAAGTCGTTTGTACTTTATTTTGTTTTAAACACTTGGAAAGAATAGCCTCTCTGCAGTCGTGGACGAGAAATTGGTAATTTTGTCGTTAATTTGACATCTTAAACTATAAATAAAATACCCCAGCATACTTGAGGGAAAGTATTGGCCTTTACTTCTTTGTGGATGTTACTAACTTTAACCCCATTATTTACGGTGGCTGTGATGGGGGAGTGTTAAAATAACATTTGGTCACCAATCTCACCACCATCTTAGTGCATATATCCCTCATGTTTGTCACAGCATATAAAAAGCCTGGGCTGTTGAAACTGACCGTAAATCCCAATATGACAACTTAGATTAATTAGGAAACAGCAGACCTGTCATTAAAGCTCAATGTGCATCTAGCATCAAGATCTGAACTATTTTTGACATTGTGAGACAAGTGTCGCCCAAGAAAGTCCTAAGTGGTTTAATGTTTTCTGCCCTCCAACCCCCAGGCCAGATGACTCAGCTGTGTGAGTTGATCAACAAGAGTGGGGAGTTGCTGGCCAAAAATCTGTCCCACCTGGACACGGTGCTAGGGGCCTTGGACATCCAGGAGCATTCCCTAGGTGTGCTGGCTGTGCTGTAAGTACCTGCTTCTTCTTTTGTTGAGGAGTTCGACTCTGTCCTATGCTGAGTTTTCTTTACACTCCTGCCTTTGTAGTACTGATTGCTTCTGCTCCATAGGTCTTGAAATAGTTTAAACTGTAGTACTGGACACAGCATTCATCCCAGTGCGATAAATTGTAAATATAATCAGTGTATATACCAGTCTGAAAGCTGTTCTTCCATGATGCACATATATTTATAAATGCTGTGTCTTTTCTTCTCATATTTCATACTTGAATGCACAAAGTTTATTCTTATTTATTTTTAGTCTCACTGTTGTGTTCTATTCCTGTAGCTGTACAGCACATTGGGAGCCTCTGTACTGAATAAAATTCTTGTATGTTCAGACATACTTGACCATTTAAAGATGATTCTGATTCTAAGAAATTCTGTTGTCATTGTGCTTGTTGAGGGCACTCTTTGTGATCAATGGACTAGAGGTGGAAAAGCTAAGGAAACAGATATTTAACAAGGAGGGGTTGGTGCATCCAGTTTTTGTGCAACTGGGCTTTTAAAGTAAAAAAATTGCAGTTGCCAAGTTGATTTAAATAAATTGTGTAAAAAAGCAAGTAACTTAAAGGGTGCCATTTTCCTCTTCTCATTATTATTGTGCATTTTTTTTAATAAGCTACCATGAAGCCATCTACCTGTGGCATGTACAACTAATAATGTAGGCATGAAACAGCCTAACATTGTAGCTGTGAAAGTGTATCTTATTTAGCTGTGACTAATGTAAAAATGGAATTTAGTTGCACTTATAAAACACGCAAAACTAGGAATTGCAGAATAAAATAGTTTTTTTTCTTATAATATTGGCGTCCCCAAATGCATACAAAACATCAGTACCTTAGGTTTTTGACCAATACTGTTCTGTGTGTATTATTTGCCAAAGACATATGTACTTTTTTCCACTTGGAAAAACCGAACATGTCTGTGCATATAGCCTAGAAATGATCTTAAAAAATCTAATTATGTATTTTCTTTTGTATCTCACATGCCAAAGTGGTGTTGTTACCACTTAGGACCTATATCAAGGTATCCTTGTTTTACTGAATTTGTTTTTCTAACCTCTTACTCTTTTGTTTCAGATTTGTGAAGTTCTCCATGCCAAACATCCCTGACTTTGAGACACTCTTCTCCCAAGTCCAGCTCTTCATCAGTACCTGCAATGGGGAGCACATTAGATATGCAACAGACACGTGTAAGTCCTTCCTAGCCAGTCCTAGATATTTAAGGAATCATGTTCGTATCCACCCCGCCCTCGCCCGATTGCCGGCCGGGATTGGCTCCGGCCCCACCCGTGACCCCGTTCAGGGACTAAGCGGTAGAAAATGAATGAATGAATGTTCGTATCCTGATGGTAGTTTGTATGTTGTGCAGGGTTTCAGCTGAACCAGAGCAGGTTTCTACACTGATCAGTGTATTACTGCTTGTGTTCGAAGCATGTGCCATGTTAAAGTATGCACTGTGTTTGTTCTAAATTATAACCATTCTTCAGCATGCAAGTGCTTTTTTTAGGTGTGTTCCTATACTTTTTAGTGTGCATTAACAATCACTGAAAATGTTTTTCAGTGTCAGCCAAAAATAAGAACACACTGTATTGTTACAGCAGTGTGCATCTGTAATGTGCAGTGAGGGTCGGGTGTATTTGTAGTGTTTAACAGTATCTGCTGGTGTAAATTCCTTTGTCTCTGCTCATTTCACAGTGTTATTACAAATAAGAATTTTATTTTGTCAAACTGTGCCACCCTTGCACCATTGAGCTGTGTTTGTCTGGGGTTATGTGTAGATATGTCCTGTAGACTACCTGCTAATCCTAGAGTTCCATCATCAATTTTCATTTAACACTTTTCTCACGTTCTGTTTCCTCTCATAGTTGCTGGTCTTTGCCACCAGTTGACAAATGCCCTTGTAGAGCGGAAACAGGTAAGAGTGAATTATTATTATTATTATTCATTTTGTGAAGTTGAGTGAAATGTCCAACTGTATACATAGTACAGTACATAGTTTTAATTAGAAATTTAAAGCTCCAGTAGTTTGCAGTGATGTGGTCTCTAATGAAGACTGAATAGTTTAAACATCAATCTAAAATGAGATTAGATTTATTTTAGAGCACTCTGTACCCTTAGTTTTCTTTATGAAACCCTTTACCCCCCTCACTGAGTCTGTCATTGGTTTGTGAGCTACATAACTAGAGGATGCACAGACTTTGGAGTATTAGTTTCTCTGTACTTAAACAGCAAAATCATATGACCCTGGTCTATGTTGTGTAATAGACCAAAAATACACCACTTTCTTCCACCAGAATAAGTATGCTGGTGTTTATTCTTTGTGTGAATTTTTTTTTTTTTTTTTTTTTAATTGGTTGGCCCACGTCGGGCGCA